CCAACCACTAACACCATAAAGGGAGACAACCAGACATTGTCATATGCCACATAATGGAAATGCACAGCATCATATGGAATAATCTTGTAAAAAACTCCAATCTGAATCTGATTAAGCCTCAAACATAACAATTGATTTATAAAACAAACAGGCAACGCAGAACCCCGTTAAACTGTATGGGAGGATGCAATTAGCAAATTCCACACTGTGGGAAATGCCACAGCACAAACAACCTGGTTTCCTCCACAAATAAACTGCAATGCAAGAAGGGAAACGAGAGAGCAGACAGATTAAAAATGACTTCGAAGACACACCAAGTAATTGCAATGAATGGGACTTATTTGCATCCTGATTCAAATAAACTGTTTTAAAAAACTGCAAAACTTGAATATTGCTGGATAAAGAATTAATGTTAATTATTTTTAGATGTAATAATACATTGTGGCTATGTTTTTATTAAGGGAAACCTCATTTCTTAGAGATATTTTCTGATATATTTAGATGAAATGAAGTGATAAATGAGATTTCCTGGAAAATAGCCGGGAGGATGGGCTGAATAAGAGCACAGGTGACATAAGATCAGCCATGAGTCGACAATTATTAAAAGTGGATGACGGCTGAGATCCTTGTATTATTCTCTCTACTTTTGTATACGCTTGAAAATTTCAAGAATAGAACATTTCCATAATAGAGATAAAACAATTCACTGATCCCAATCTTTGATAATGGTCATGGATTTGGTACAATTGATGTTAGGCCCTGATTACACATAGGTTTTCTTCAGATGAAATGAATGACTGGATAGAATAACAATTTTCTAAGGGAACTTCGGTTATATATAAAGATCATCACGTTGAACAGGCTATGTTATCACAAATTTAGGTTCTACGAGAAAGCATGGTAAAGATATCAACGCTCTTAACATCTTCAAACTGTGTTTTTCTCAAGGTTCCTAGTCCTCTGACACCTTTCACTAAACAATTCCTGCCCCACTCCCCTGACACCCACCCACACCCACCCACATCCACATACAGCTTTTGCCTATCTCCACCACCATTTTTATAATAACGTTCTTAAGAATTACTGCTTCCCATTCCCTTCTTCCTCTGAAGTCTCCTGACAGTTTCCAGACAAAAGTTTTTGACCTATCCTTTCTTTGATTTTTATACATATTTTAAATATTTTATTGATTTTTAGAGAAGGAGGAAGGGAGAAAGAGAGAGAAACACTGATCATCTGCCTCCTGCATACCCCTACTCGGGATTGAACCAGCAACTGGGCATGTGCCCTGACCTAGAATCAAACTGGCAACCTTTTGGTGCACAGCACAACACCCAACCAACTGAGCCACACCCACCAGGGCTCTCTGATTTATATGTATCCCTTTGAACTCTATGAGCCATCCATTGGATAACTTTTATATAACCTTTTTTCTAAAATGAATTATCCTTAAAAGATACTTATTCAGAAATGTTCCCTATCAGGTTGGAGGTGGCATTTTTGCTCCCATCTTCCCTACTGTTATTCAGACTAATTTCATCTATTTTTCCTATTCTCTCCTTCTTCTATTCCTCCATTCCTCTACCCAAACTGAAAAGAAGAACAGTAATAATCATAAAAATATGTCACTATGTATTGTTTCCACTAGAATATCATTTCTTAGAGGGCAGCAACCTTTTGACTTTATTATGGCTTTCTTTTTCCATCATGTTCTGGGCAACTATTATTATTTGAAAATACAAGGTCTGTTTTCTATTAATATTTATAGAATCTACAGTCCTGCCACAGGGTAGGCATTCAATCCATTTTTATCAAATGCAATATTTCAATCACAGAATCTCAGAGACAACCTGTGAGATGCGCGAAAGGTCACAAAAACCCGTTACAGCAAATTCTATAGTCCGGAGCTCGTGACCCGCCCGGGCTGGACTTCTCCCCCATCTGCTATTCTCACCATCTGATGAAAAACGTCACAGGGCCTAAAGTCAGACTAAAGAAGCCCAACGTAGCAGGGACTAAATACTTAAAGATTAATCATAACATTCCCAATTAAGAAAATGCATTTACTAAGGAAAATAATTTGTAACACAATATTTTGCTTTAGGTGCTTTGGCCTCTCCAGAATTCTTTACGACGTGTGTAAGGAAGGTTATCATACCAGAAAACTCAGGAAAGCCTAGAAAATTCAGAAAGACAGAAATTCAGCTGGGATTGGTTTCCAAGCGCTGAGTAGATGATCCTCACAGAGAAATTCACTCCCTCTCCTGCCTCTGCATACCATGTTCAGGGTAAAATAACGAACAAAACCGAATATGTCAGAACCAGGTCATCTGCAGAGTCTGTTCTTTCCAGATGGGACTAGGTGTGAGGGAAAGGGACAATGACCACTTAGTAACTCCTGACCATGTTCCAGGAATGGGATTCGGTGGCTTATACACACGACTGAATGTATTCCTTTCAACAACCCCATGAGAGAGACATCATCATTCCCACTTAACAGACTAACACTCAGGAGCCACGTGCCTCGGGTCCACTGGCAAGTCTAGATGCAAACCCAGGTCCAGCTGAGCCCAAGGCCATGCTCCATCCACACGGTTAAGCTGGTTCTTTTCATCCAAGAGTGCCAGCACCTTTATCAAGTTCAAAGAGCCCCAAAATGTCTGAGACATGATTATAACCTCTACCATCTACTTCTCAAGCCTACAAAACAGAATCTGTTCTCTTCTTGCTTAATTTACTTTAATTCTTATCATCAGCCAAAACATTTTAACATCAGGACAAATTCACTGAAGAAGGCTTTTCGACCCTGAGTTTGGCATATTTTTAAAGTCTTTAAAGTTGACAAATAATGAAGCATAAAGCTATGCTCCTTAATTTATATGAAGTCACACATGGTGATAACGGACTTGCCTGGTATTTCCCTTAATGTTAGCACCCAATTCAATATTCCTGACCCTGGGGCCTCATGCACACTGTAAGGCCATTCCCAGGCCTCTTCTGGACCATCTCAGCTCAGAGGAGGGCCAGCGGCAGCAGTGCTGACAGCACCATTGCACAGGCCGGAGGTGGAAGAGTAGAATAGAAAAGGTTGCCCCATGGAATTTAAGTAGGGCTACTCTTCTAGAGAGGGACACAATAGTAAAAAAAACTAATAAAATGGTACTGCTTTTCCTGATTTCTGTATTATTAATGATGATGTTTTAAAACTCCATCCTTTTTAATAGGCATACATGAAAGAGTTAAATCAGGCAGGGCCCTTGGAATAATAATTTGCCGTCTATTACCATTTGTTGTGATCTTTTTTTTATTGTAGCAATTTAAAATCAAGCTTGTAAAACACACTGTGTAGAACAACAAAAGATAAGCCAATTTTCTTTAAGCATTTCTGATGTAAAAGCCACATTTCTAGCAATATCATTTAAATGCTGGGTTTCACTGTTCCCTCTTGGCCATCCACCCCAACTCCAAGTATGATTTCTTTTCAAAATAACAGCAAACATTAGTGGTTATGCTTATCGAGTTTTCCAGTTCACTCCTGGCCGAGCAGGATGACACACTTGGCAGGGTCCGGACAAAGGCGAGTCTGCGTCATTCCGTTATCAGTCACATGCGATGCACACAGTTCTCACATGTACTTGTCAAGCTCATGAGGGGTCACTCAGATTGGGACACCAGAGTGTGTCACATTCTAAGTGAGAGTATAGATAATGGTACCCTCTTTGTCCCTACTCTCAAAGTCTAATTAACATACCTGGCAGTATATTTTGAGGGAAAAGATAATACATATATTAAAACAATTTTGGAATTATATGGCCAGATAAATACCACTTATCTTTTTTCCGTACATGAAGTCATTGCTATATACTTTTCTTGGAGTGTTTAACAATTGTGCTAGAGAAAGGACATCAAATGATGCTTAGAAATGTGATACACATTTTCATTTCACACTCCATCAGCTTTTACAACTGTAGCTCAATGAAATGTAAGAGAGAGCTTGGCAAACAGCCATATTTACCAAGGTATAAAATAGTGGTCAGGTTACTGTTTTATAGAAATAAAAAAAAGTTTCCTTTTCAGTCCACATGACTAAAGCAGATATTCAGCTAACACCCTAGAGCAATGATTTTCAACCCGTGTGCCATCTCAGGCACCGTAAGAATTTTTAAAACATGCAATACCTGACTATTTAGTCAGGGCACTGACCTCTTTTCCCTTAGATTGTCAAATAAAAAATTGACAACAGCCTGCCCGGCCAGCATGTCTCGGTGGTTGAGCAATGATCTACGAACCAGGAGGTCAAGGTTCGATTCCTGGTCAGGGCACATGCCCGGGTTCCAGGCAGCCAATCAACGATTCTCTCTCTCATCATTGATGTTTCTTTCTCTCTCTCCCTCTCCCTTCCTTTCTGAAATCAATACAAATATATTTAAAAAATTATACCTATTTTTTGCGAGGTTGACATAAAATATGTTTTTTGTGTCCCACAGGATTTTAGTAATTAGTTTATGTGTGCCATGAGATGAAAAAGGTTGAAAATCGCTGCCCGAGAGAAAGGCACCATAAGCACATATACTGACATGGTTTAGTGCCTGTTTAACTAAAGGTTTTACTATATTATAAAGAGCTTCATAAAGCAAGAAACTATGTCTTCCCTCAGCCGGTTCCACTCAGGATTTACTGACACAGACACACACCGGATCTGACCATCTTTGGTGTTACATCTTTCACTTGAAAATAATGGCATTTGCCTTCTGCATCTAGACCAGAAGCAGAAACAGCTTATTCCCTTAACAGGCAGAGAAGAAAAAAAAAAAAAAGCTAAAGGCATCAGCAGAACTGCATCTTTCCATTTCAGATTTCAATCTGCGGGAAAGGACTGCAGCCTCCTGCAGGCACAGAGAGGGGGCTGTGAATTACAGAGCCACGGAGCCAAGGTCTGCACCCTGCGCCTCCCCAGCTGCTTCTTACTGGCAGGGTGGAGGGGAGCACCTTTTACTCACCGCGGTCAAGCCTGAGACTTCTCCTTTGGCTAATGGTTTGCTGATGGATGGTGTGTAGACTTTGGCGTCTGCTACTGGCTGCCCTTTCATAAAATGCTTTCCGGATTCATAAATGTCCACTTCGACCATTTTCCCCATGAATGTGGGGTTCTTTGGCACTAAAACCTTTAAAAAGGGTTCAGAAGGCTCAATTTTAAAATAAACTTTTAATTTTAGAACAGTTTTAAATTTATAGAATTGCTGCAAAGGGAGCACAGAGTTCCTGTATAGCCCATACTCAGCTTCCCCAGGAAAACACTGTACACCAGTCTGCCGGACTTGTCACAGTGAATGAGCCATTATTGGTGTCTGACTATGAAGTAAAGTCCCACTTTATTCAGAATTCCTCAGCTGTCAACTAATGTCCTTTTCTATTCTGAGATCCACCCCAAGTGGGCTCTATCTTCCAGCTGCTCCAGGACCTGGGTGGGGATCTGGGGGGAAGGGCTGGCACTCTGGGAGGAGCTGCTGCAGACAGCCTCCTGCATTGCAGGACGCCTGCTGTCCTCAGGCATGTGGGAGGCAGACCTGGGAAATCCCAGCAGGCAGCCAGTCACTTTTGGACAGGCCTTTGATATTCTGCTCTTGGCTGTCCCATGCAATGAGGGAAACCAAGACAACGCTGATGAAAGCCTCCTACTTTTAATACCTTCCAAGTTAGCTATCAAAGTTCTGGTTTGAGCAGACACTTCAAATAAAGGCCTGCATGTTTGTGTGCATGTATATGTGTGCGTGCGTGCACGAGCGTGTGTTTTGGGGGATGAGAAAGAACACTTAAAAGCAACCTTTTCAATATTCCAAACATGGGTAACATGGAGGTAAATAGCTCCTTTAACTGGTTGCCATTCAGTTCTATTGCTCTGTAATAAAACGCATGTATTTGCGAGCTCTAACTCCACATAGAACCAGCTACTTTGGAAGGGTACTCTGGCTGGTTCACAGGAAACTGTCCTATGGTCTCTTTCCACTAGATTTCGGGTAAAAGCACTTGTTTACCTCGAGCAAATCTCTCCCCTGCTTTGGGACTTAGAGGTAGTCTGTATGCATTATGTCTCCCTCTATTTTAGGACTAGCTACTGGCCAATCTTTTAAAGTTGGGATCCAGAATAAAGAGACTAATTCTAACCCAGCAAGACTTTGATATCTTGATGCAATCTTTCCTTCTGGAACTCATCTCAGTAGGAAAATAATTCCTGTGAAATCTCTGGAACTTAGTTGTAGAGACAAAAAGGTCAGAGGATGCAGAGGCTGCACAGCTGGTTTCTCAGAGGCCGCAGTGGATCTCGGTCCTTCTGAGTCTGATTTTCATGACCACTGAGTCCACCGTTTCATCAAAATGTAGCAAGGTCACCTGGGTGGCGAGTTACTCACGGTAAGCAGACGGACTAAGAGGGCTTTAGTATCAGAATATGAAAGCCCTTTTAAATCAACTTTTATAAGACGAGAAAATCTCCAGAGTAAACTATCCTGGGGAGATCTGGTGTGATTCTGGGGGAAAATAACTCCCCTTGATCTGCTGCCTTGATCTGAATGAAGGGCTCAGTGTTTTTCCCCCTCCGGTTTTAATAATTGGAAAAAGCCCGGCTGCTTTAAATTGGAGGAAACAGCTAATGAGGCATGCCATTGCCTTTAAAATGAAGGGGGAAAAAGTTCCCCGCTGAGGCAGAAACCCAGATGGCAAGAGAAAGGAGAGGGAAGAGGCAATGAAAACACAATCAAGCTCCTCCCCAGGCTGAGCAGAGAGCGGGTCTGGGTAGGAAAGCCGCCCTCTGGAGTCAATTAATGAGATGGAAAGTGGGGAGAGACTCAGCTCAAACACGAGTGGTGGAAATCCTTCCTCCACAGGTACCGGACAGGGCTTGTTTAGTCTGGGTCTGGAAAAGCTCCCCACCTTTCCTGAGGACCCAGGCCCGTCTGAGATGGCTCCTGGTGGCACATCAGTGCCCGAAGCCTCTTAGCTACTGCCTCCCTGCTCACAGGCATAGTGGGCTGCCTTTGACTGTCCCCTGCATGACTTGCCCACAGTGGTCTTAAGAGCCTTCCCAAGCTCTAATTCTGGCCATGACCCATAGAAAAAAAAATCCACTTCTCTTTGATCTTGAAAGTTAATACAATCCAGGATGACCCATGAAATCCCTGTCCCCATGCAAGTCCCCCTCCTGAGAGGGCATATCCCATCTCCATATCCGGATGCCCCTCGAGGAGGCATGCTGTTTCCTTCCGTCACTTTCCAATGGCTTTACTTCCTGGGCAAGTGGAGTCCCAAATGCTGAGGCAGAATCTGGCTACTGGGGAGGCAAGGGAGGCTCGCTTACGTGGGCTGGGAAAGAGCCCTTGGGGTTGGGTTTGGAGAAAATTCTCAAAGTAAAGTCATTTTGACCCTTACACTGCTCTCCTCACATAATCAGAGTTGAATCCAAGGAACAGACTCTTGTTCCTTTGCTCCCAGCATTTTTATCAAGGTGGGAGTTATAAAAACAAATTCTAAAACTAAACAGAACTAAAAAACCAACCAACCAAGAAACCTGCATGAGTGCCTTGACAGTGAGAGGAAATCCCTGCCCTTCCCCGCTGATGTCGCCGGTGCAGACATCCTTCCTGCCTCTGGACAGGACTCTGCCAGGCTGTGGGGATGCTGGCAGGGACAGCTGCCTGTTCCAAACTCCCAAAAGCCTAAGGCTGGCTCCCTCAAAGACTAGTGAGGACTGAAACACATGTATTCCTTTATAAAGAATGTTCTGCAGACTAAGCCACGAAGATAAGGCCCATGCCAGTCCGCCTGGCTGGATGCTATAAAATGCCTTGCTGCACAAGATTCTACAACCCTCCCCCTTTTTAAGTTCCTTTTGCTTAAGCAGACTTACTTTCAGAACTCTTTTTCATTTTGGAGAAAATTTAAGGACACAGAAATATCTCTTACCTGCTCATAGAATCGATTGTGTGCAACATAAAACTTGGAATCAAAGGATTCTTCTGTTACTAACACTTGTTGTCTTTCACCAATCTGGGAAGAGAAGGGGAGAAAAAAAGGAATGATATGGGCAAACACCTAAGAATTCAAAACAAATGCCAGCCCAGTAAGTAGCATCCTCTTGAATTTAAAGTAGGCTCTAAATTGCTAGTTACTTAACAGCTAATAAAAGAATCACCCATTCAAATTTCCTGAAAGACTTTATTAACTATTTGGTAATAAAAATGAGCCCAGTATGAAATCTTATATTCTTAACTATGAAACAAAACTTGATTTTATTTCCTCCTTCAGCATAAGATAATTAAGGCTTCTAAGACTTACAAAAATCTTCTAAATATCACTTTGTTTCTTGAAACAAGGCTGCAAAACAAGCCAGAACAAGCTGCTTCTAATCCAAATTCATGAAAATATTTTGGCAATATGAAAGAGTAGTAATAAACATTAATTTGAGTTATGGGGAATGTAACACTAAAGAAAATGCTTCCAAAAACTAGTCATTAAGAGCTTGCATCTAAACATTTCACATACTATTCTGAAATTACTAATTAATTCACACAGCTATTTATTTGTCATATACATTTTCTCTGTCACAGGCAACCGTCTCCTCTATGTTGCAGCCATGACCCCATATTCATATTTTTTAAGAGAAATACAGCAAAAATAGGGGACTGTTAATTCTCTACAGGATCAACCTATATGTATCTATATTTATTATCTAAGCATGCATTTTCAATAACCAAGAAGTTAAATCAGACAAAATATGGGATAAAGAAATGTGACTTCTAAAATATTCTACCATTTCTAAGTTTATCCCACTGTGAAATGTAACATTTAAAGTATCAATTACTGATTTTTACAAGGTTGTCAAATGTCTGATGTAGCAAATATTGGATGACTGTATTGAATGGCTGTGCCCGGAACTACATTTGCCTTTGTCACTTGGTAAATATGACCCTCCATATTAAAGCACGCTGGCATGAAGATTTAAAAAAGCAATCCCCAGTTTCATAGGTAGGGACTTGCCAACACATTCAGGCAATTCCCATTTAGGAAACATAAACACAGCTGCACTAAATAGACCACCAATACAATTTAAAAACACACCCTCTTCTATGTACAATGCCAATACCTAAATGCACCGTAATTTACTATTTTTTTTTACTATCTCATTCAAAAGGTAACCCCCTAAGTCAAAGATTGTAAGGTTTCTAGCATGATACTTATCAAAGACTTAGTTCACTTTCTGAAAATTAGTAATAGTTCCTGCAACACTAATTTCTTTTAAAAATCAGATGGCAACAAAAGTAAGTTCCTGCAACTTCTACTTTGAGCTTTATTAAAAAAAAACAAAAAACAGCTTGATGAATACTGGGTTTCACTGAAGTATATTTTTCTGTAAAAAAAAACTTAGAATGTTTGCATACATTTCACAGTGTGAGTTGCTTATAAGTTAGGATAAGTGTCTCTCAATGGTTCTTAAGGAAATTTGCAATTACACTCCATGTAACATTAAGTTTTCAGGAAATTAGTCTAACAATAATATGGGATAGTAGAGACACTGAAACTGTATGCTGGTTCTTTCCTCTTGTTAGAGTGAATGTAGTCATCGTTTTGGGGCTGTCCTATTTTATCTGGAAATAATGATGATAATATACGTATACACAGAGTTAGAAGACTTGCTATGTTTATACAGTAGAGGGCAGGGCTTTCGATCAACCATCAGAGAACTATTTGTAGGTGAGTATTTAACTATTATTTGCCAAAGGGATTCAGGAAAACTGCTATGTGCAGTCATTTATAGTGGCAAACAACTCTCCAGTCACCCTTTTTGTCCTCTCAGCCATGGATATTTCATCTCACTGGTGAGGCTCTTAAAATTCCTCAGAGAATACTGGGCAAAAATGAGCATAAGAAAGCTAAGGCCTTGATCAAAAGCTGCTACAATCTATCCCCACCCCCTAAAATACCAACAAAAACTAATACACGTTCTCCTCAATATTTTTGTAAGGATAAAGTTTCAATGAAATGAATATAAAATACAACCTTTAAGATAATCAGCTATTTCAAATAACCTTAAAACAACAATGATGTTAAGGAAGGGAACTCTGGAAGATGTAACTTTGCCTTAGTGACAGTGAGGAACCTTATGGGCTAAGAACATGTATAATAAACCTCACATTTTTTTTTTTTAATGAGCCACCTCCCCCTATACTTTCCAACTGTTTTCTCCTTTAACCTCGTGTGGTTAAAGAACTGCATTTAACAAGAGTGAGGATGGTCATCTGGCTTTGCCTACCAATGCCTCTGTTATCTAGCAAGAAATCCCAGTCTAAGAGGAAAAAGGCAGGGTATCTGAAGAAAAAAAGGCCACATATATCCTAAGACAATAGGACAACAAGCACCCATCCATGTATTATGCTAATGACTGAGATAATCCCCTAGAAGTGATCAGACCAGTCTGTTTTACAGATAATGATGGAGATGAGCTGTGTCTCACATGACCTTCTGATATTTCCCTGGGAAGTAGCTTCTATGGCTACCTCACTACCATTGATAGAACCTTCTCTAACAACTGGATCCACTGACAGAAATGCAAGGTTACACCATTGGCTTAAAACAAACCCTTTTCAGAACAAGATAGCAAAAAGAATGCTGTGTAATTTTTAAAATGAACCAACTCCTACAAATGTATAAGGTTGAAAATAATGTTTTTATGAACTTTGTGACTAACAGCAAAATATGGCTGTTCAGCAGAGATGATTAAGATGAAAGTGGAACTGTAAACCTAAAAAATGGTCTAGAAGGTGGCTTTAAGGTAACCGGAATAGTCAAGGCTAGGAAGAAAGGGGAAGAAGGAACATACTTCAATGTAATGAAGGTTATATGTGACAAACCCACAGCTGTATCATACTCAATAGGCAAAAACTACAAGCATTTCCCTTAAGATCAGGAACAAGACAGTACTGGAAATACTAGCCACAGCAATCAGACAAGAAGAGGAAATACAGGGCATCCAAATTGGAAAGGAAGAAGTAAAACTGTCAAATTTGCAGATGACATGATACTGTATATAGGGAATCCTGAAGATCCCCCCCCCCCCAAAAAAAATACTAGAACTGATAAATGAATTCAGTAAAGTAGCAGGATACAAAATTAACATCCAGAAATCAGCTGCATTTTTTACACTAATAATGAACTATCAGAAAGGAAAACTAAGAAAAAAATTCCATTCACAACTGCTTAAAACAAATACCTAGGAATAAATTTAGCCAAGGAGGTAAAAGGCTTGTACTTGCAAAATTATAAGACACTGAAGAAAGAAATTAAAGAAGATACAAATAAGTGGAAGAATTCACATCATTAAAATGTGCAAACTACCCAAAGCAATCTACAAATTCAACGTAATTCCTATCAAGACATCAATGGCATATTTCACAGAACTAAAGCTAACTAGCCATGGCAATCTTGAGAAAGAAGAATAAAGTTGGAGGAATCATGCTATCTGATATCAAACTATACTATACGACCATTGTAATCAAAACAGCATGGTACTGGCATAAAAACAGACATATAGATCAATGGAATACAATAGGGATGCTTGAAATAAACCCACAACTTTATGGTCAATTAATATTTGACAAGGGAGGCAAAAACATACAATGGGGTAAAGATAGTCTATTCAATAAATGGTGTTGAGAAAATCTGACAGATACATGCAAAAAAGTGAAACTAGACGACCTTCTTACAGCATACACAAGAATACACTCAAATGGATTAAAGACTTAAATGTTAGACTATAAAAATCCTAGAAGAAAAAAAACATAGGCAGCAAAATCTCAGACATTACTGGTAGCATTATTTTTTCTGATATATCATCTTGGGCAAGAGAAACAAAAGAAAAAGTAAACAAATGGAACTACATCAAACTAAAAAATTTTTGTGCAGCAAAGGAACCATGAACAAGCCAATGAATGGGAGGACATATTTGCCAATGATAAATCTGATATAGGGTTAATATCCAAAGAACTTATAAAACTCAATACCAAAAAACCAAACAATCCAATTAAAATATGAGCAAAAGACCTAAGTAGACACTTCTTCAAAGAAGACATACAGATGGCCAAGAGACATATGAAAAGAGCTCAATGTCACCAATCATCAGAGAAATGCAAATTAAAATGACAGTGAGATATGTCCTCATTGGGAGGAGGGTTCTGGGCTGGGTGAAAAAGGTGAAGGGATTAAGTAATGAAAAAACAACTCATAGACAAAGACAACAGTATGATGAGTACCAGAGGGAAAGCGGGGTAAGGGAGGTTGAAAAGAGTATAGGGAGGATAAATGGTGCTGGAAGGAGGCTTGACTTGGGGTGCTAAACACACAATACAATACCCCCACCCCCACTCTCCCAAAGAAAGGAAGAAAGGGGAAAGTGATGAGGCAGGAGAAGGAATGGTCAGTAGCAGAAATGCATAGTTCTAGCGGAAACTGGGGGAGAAGAAGTGTTACTCAAAACATCCTATTCCACATATTTGAATTGGACAGAAGAGTGGGAAGACTTAGGGTTTGGGTAGATTGTTTTTAAGATAAAGATTTGACTACATTTTGGGCCTTCACATTCCTCATCGAAAAAGTGAGTTTGGTAGAAGTGACATGCTGGTGGAGAGAGGAGAGTAGGACTGAACAGGAAGTGGGTTATAATATTTAAAGGACCTCTCAGTTCCAAAACTGTAAGTCATCGTTCATGGCAGATCTGTAGGTTAGGGGCTGGTGTGCTCGCAAGGTTTCAGATAAGGAAATACTTTAAATCCAGGCTCCTTTTTCTGACAGTAAATGTATGCTTGAAGCCCTCCATAAATTGCAGCTAATTTCTTGCTGCCCTTAAAGTAACAACATAATCCTTAATACCCATCAAGAAACCTGAACCTAAAGAAGCCTGTCAAAATCTTTCCAATGAGAGAGAGAGACACTGATTTTGTTACTCCACTTATTTATGGATTTATTGGTTGCTTCTTGTATGTGCCCTGAGTGGG